AGTCTCGTGTGGACGTGGTGTCCCGCCCAGCTATTGTGTCTCACTCCGTGGTGTCTCCCGTGGTGGCGCATGCCGTCCCTGTCGTTCCTCTCGTGCGCTCCGCATCGCATTTTCTCCATGCCGCCCCTCTAGTCCACGCTGCACACTACTAAGACGTAATTAAGATTAAGCAAACAAACATGTAGTTTTCGTTTTAAAATGTTAGACTAAAATGAATAGACAATAAATAGTGTTTTTTAAAATTAATATATTTCTTATTTTACATCTCAACAACTTACTGCATAGAAGTGAAAAAAGTAATGCGGCTTGATCTCTTGAAAAAAAAAGAGAACTTTATCTTAATGTTTACATTCCGTAGAACTTTCGATTGCTAATGAAAAAATTCAAACGTTCAAATGACAGTAAAGATTCTTGCTATTGGCTGAGAATTTAAATAACCATGGGAACCAATGTCTTTGCTATAGTTTGTCTAAATAAATTAGATTAGTTTGACAATTCACTTCAAATTTAGTAGGGATGGTTGTGTAAAATCAGTCATAAATATTATCGATTTTCGATTGGAATCCATAGATTCATAGTTATAACTTATGGAATGAAAGAAAAAACACAGTTTTCTCAAATTAATATTGACCATTACAAATAATGAGAGTAAATAAATGTTTATTACTACTACAGCCGTACGCAATCGAATTGGATTTGGCTTTGTTTCTGTCATCGCTAAATTCTCTACACTATAATCAATAACAGAATTGTCCTCTAAATTAGTTAATAAGAAAATAATATTTTTACTTGAGTTCGATAATTATTTAAAACGATTATCGATAGTTTATAATTGTTCGCTGCGTGTTTGTTTCGTCACTACGATACCTGTCTATTAAGTACGGCATTTGCAGTCATACAAATTGAATTCGATACTTCACATGCGTCATTTATCAAACTAATCTATCTTATTTAGACACACTATAGTATTGGTTTGTAGTTTTTGACCCCTTCTCGCAGAGGCAATTTATACCCTTTTTTCTAATATACTCAGCCCTTAGGTTTAATAGCGAGGATATACATCGCTGTGTCGTAATATAAGGGTTTTTATCCGATATAGTGAATAACATTTTCTTTGAAATGTGACTGTGTTAGTACGTACGTCAAGTTTAGTACGCTACCTCGTGTCCTTGTATTAACATATTATAAAACATTTTTACCAAATTATAATAAGTTCCATATTTTGTTATAAAATAAACTTAATAGTGTCACAAAATAAAATATAAACATTTTGTTTGATTTAGTGATACCTATTGGCAATTCATTAAAATGTAATGTTAATTGACAGGAAAAAAAAGGGAATGATGT